TTATTGCTTTCTTTAAATTATTTTCATGATTATAAAAAATTGTTCATGTATAGAACATAGGTCATGCCTGGAATAGGAAGAAAGTAATTATTTTATTTATAATCTATTAGAATGTAGACAAGTGGTACCCAGCTTTAGTGCATTTAAATGATCTGGGGTGCTTGTTAAAAGTACCCGTTTGGCCAGGTGCGGTGGCTCACACCTGTAATCCTAGCACTTTGGGAAGCTGAGGCGGGCGGATTACAAGGTCAAGAGATTGAAACCATCCTGGCTAACATGGTGAAACCACATCTCTACTAAAAATACAAAAATTAGCTGGGCATGGTGGTGTGCACCTGTAGTCCTAGCTACTTGGGAGGCTGAAGCAGGAGAATTGCTTGAACCCAGGAGGCGGATGTTGTCGTGAGCTGAGATCGTGCTACTGTACTCCAGCCTGGAGACAGAGGGATACTCTGTCTCAAAAAAAAAAAAAAAGAAGTACCTGTTCTAAAACCTCAGCCCTAGTGATTCTGAATGAAGCCTATGTTTAGAACCAGAAATTTGCCTGTTCAAAAGAAGATTCTGATACGTGTCATCTACATGCCACACTTTGAGATCTGAGATTAAACACTGGTAATACTTTAGTGTCTCCCCTTCCTAATGGTTAAAGTCATCATTTCTTAAATAGTTTGCTTAGAATTCTTTCATATCCCAAAGTCTCCAGCGAACTGCCTTTGCACTCCTAGTTCTTAGAATAATTGTGCTCTACTAATAATTAAAATAATGAGAGAGCTTTGTTTGGTGCTTGGTAGTTTTAGAAGAACACTCTAATTGAGCAAATTGGTTGGACATCAATTTATACAATTCTTACAGAACATGAAATTACTACAATTGACATACAAGCACCAAATGATTACAGTAATACAGCAAAGCCTTCTGGACTGGAGTGCAGCCTCAGGGACATCAGCCCACAGTAATGTCCTGTTAACACGTACAGATTATTACTTACAGAGTTTGCTGATGATTACAGCAATATATTTATTCTACCCAAATTTATTGAATATACACTATGTGCAAAGCACCTGCCAGGCTTTGTGGAGAGTACAAAAAGTTGTATAACATTTAGACCCTTATCTAAAGCAACTTGTAATTTATGAAACTTGACACTGCTTATGCCTGCAGGGACTATGTGTGGTCATAAACAGTTACTTTTCCATGAATAATTTATGTCCAGTGAAAGGCAATGCATATTTGAGATAAAGAAACAAATATTAAGGATGATAGTTTCTAAGATACATGCCTCCTCATCTTTTCCGTGTGCCACAGTGTATGTTTCTATTTCGTATTACAAAGTTAAAGTGGCCTTTTGTTTTAAAAAAAAGGAGCCGTAAAAAGTAGAGATTGACTGACTTGCAAATGCCATGTCCAGTTCCCTCCTATATGACATCCCATGACAGCTCCTCCTTTCTAGTATTTTTGCATCTTATATAGGATGGCCCGATACAGGGTGTCATCCAAAAAGGCCTACAGTCCTAAAACAGAATGTTAACTGGGCTGATGCCTCCATTCAGGGGAAATACCAGAATCCTCACTGGTGTTTGCTCATTATGAAAGAAATAAAGGGTCAGGCACAGTGGCGCACACCTGTGATCCCAGCACTTTGGGAGGCCAAGGCAGGCGGAACCCTTGAGGTCAGGAGTTCAAGACCAGCCTGACCAACATGGGTGAAACCTTGTCTCTCTGAAAATACAAAAAAATTAGCTGGGTGTGGTGGTGCATTCTTGTAATTCCAGCTCCTTGGAAGGCTGAGGCAGGAGAATCGCTTGAACCTGGGAGGCAGAAGTTGCAGTGAGCCGGGTTGGCACCACTGTACTCTAGCCTGGGTGAAAGAGTGAGACTCTGTCTCAAATAAAAAAAATTAAAAAAAAAAAAAAAGGAAAAGAAACAAAGGCTTTGAAGGAGTATGATTCACAGAGTGCCTGTGCACTGGGGCTGGTCCTGTGAGCTTTTATCTTATCTGTTGTGAAAAGATTAGGTGGTCAGAAACTTTTAGGGCAATTTGATAATTTCATGCCCCTTAACTTTAATAATAAAATAATTACATTTATAATTTGTATCTTTTTTCATTTTATTCTACTAATTGCTTTTTATTGTATTGTACAAAAGTATTGGCTCAAAAGTGATGGACTTGAAATAATAATAATTTTTTAAAAACGGCTCTTTACCACACATAGTTCGAAAAGCACTGTTAAAGAATCTTTTCTTGATGGATTAAAGACTTAAATGTAAAACTCAAAACCATAAAAACTCTGAATAAAATCTAGGCAATACCATTTAGGACACAGGCACGGGCAAAGATTTTATGACAAAAACACCAAAAGCAATTGCAACTAAAACAAAAATTGACAAATGGGATATAATTAAACCAAAGAGCTTCTGCACAAAATAATAAACTATCATCATCGTGAACAAGCAACCTACAGAATGGGAGACAATTTTTGCAATCTATCCATCTGACAAATGTCTAATATCCAGAGTCTACAGGAACTTAAATTCACGAAGAAAAAAACAAGCCCATTAAAAAGGGGGCAAAGTACATGAACAGATACTTCTCAAAAGAAGACATTCATGCAGCCAACAAACATGAAAAAAGGCTCAACATCACTGATCATTAGAGAAACCACAATGAGATACCATCTCACACCAGTCAGAATGGCAGTTACTAGAAAGTCAAGAAACAAGATGTGCTGATGAGGTTGCAGAGAAAAAGGAGCACTTTTACTCTGTTGGTAGGAATGAATTCGTTCAACCATTGTGGAAGACAGTGTGGCAACTTCTCAAAGATCTCGAAGTAGAAATACCATTTGACCCAGCAATCCAATTATAAATCATTCTATTGTAAAGATACATGCATGTCTATGTTCATTGCAACACTATTCACAATGGCAAAGACATAGAATCAGCCCACATGTCCATCAGCGATAGATTGAATAAAGAAAATGTGGTACATGTACACCATGGAATACTATGCAGCCATTAAAAGGAATGAGATCATGTCCTTTCCAGGGACTGGAAGCCATTATTTTCAGCAAACTAACTCAGGATCAGAAAACCAAACACTGCACCTCTTCACTTGCAAGTGGGAGCTGAGCAATGAGAACACAGGGACACATGACACATGAGAAGAAACAACACACACTGGGGCATTTTGGTGGGGAGAGGGGAGGGAGAGCACCAGGAATAATAGCTAATGGATGCTGGGCTTAATACCTAGGTGATTAGTTAATCTGTGCAGCAAACCACTATGGCACATGTTTATGTATATAACCTGCACAATCTGCACATGTACCCCAGAACTTAAAAGTCAATGGAAAAAAAAAAAAAAAAAACAGAAAAAAAGAATCTTTTCTTGATTCAGGAAGTATTCAGCTTCTCTACCCCAAAATTAGTTTCTTTTTTACCTTGTATATTTCTGTTAGAGCAAGCTCCTGGATATTAATTTTTAGCCAACATGTGATACAGGAGAAGGTAGTCTTCTTTAATTTAAAAAATTATTAATTCCCTAAATGGCTATCAAATTACTCCATTGTAAAACCAAGTTAAAGAGCTTCCAAGCTTAAAACTTTTGAAAGAGAAATATAGTTTTTAAAAAGGAAATTATCTGTTTTTAATCAAAGCTTTGTTTTTGCCAAGATATTAAATTTCTATTACATGTATTAAGCCAGTGTAGCAGACTAAGACTTTAGGATTTGCAAATGTAAATAACTAAGGAGAATTAACTTTTGAATCTGTTTATGTCAGGATGCTTGACTGGTACTGTTTACCAAGTAAGCCCAGTAGAAAATGGCCTGTTAGAAAATGCATGATCCCATAAGTCAGCCAGGCCATTACCTTAGACTTCCGACATCTTGCCTGTAAAATAAAGCTGCCTGTGAAATGAAGGGATCAGCCCAGATGAACCCTAAGGCCTTCTACATTTCAAATATTACATATGTCTGTAAATTTAATTCCATAATCATTTTAAACTACTGTTTTTGTTTTTTTTTTCTGAGACAGGGTCTTGCTCTGTTGCCCAGGCTGAAGTGCAGTGTTGTGATCACAGCTCGTTGTGATCACGTTGAACTGCTGAGCTCAAGTGATCCTCCCACCTCAGCCTTCTGAGTAGCTAGGAGTTAGAAGCCTGCAACACCACTCCCAGTTGATGCAAAAGTAACTGTGGTTTTTGCCATTAAAAATAATACAATTACTTTTGCACCTATATATGTTTGTTGGTGTTTGTTTGTTTGTTTGTTTGTTTGGAAGAGATGAGGTTTTGTTATGTTGCCCATGCGTGGCTTCTGTTTTTTTAAGAGCTGCATGGATGATTCCATTGCAAAGCCAGGGTTGAAAGTCATAGATCAAGAGGCTAGAGAGCTGACTGGGCCAATAGAAGCAAAAAGGTGGGAGACTCAATGAAGGTAAAGGAGCTCAACAATGGCAAAAGAAGTGACCCATCATAATGTGGAAAACATTGGGAAAAGATGGAGACAACTCACAGCTTTAAGTTGAGATGGGAACAGAGATGTTACTTCCCATCTTTACCACTTATTCACACGAGGCTGAGGGTTAAGTTGTTGGCAGAGAGAACCAAAGATTTGTAAACCGATTCAAGAATGTCTGAGTCTTTTTGGTCTATAGATATTTTACCCTGGTATGCACACTTGCACATGGGTGCTCTCATTTGGCCTGAGAGTGCCTTCTATGTTACAAGGACATCATATACATAGAAGGTAATAAACCTTCTAATAATGATTAGAGATGTGCCAGGGCTCTTAGCTTGACAAAGAAAGGTAAACTGATTCTGTCTTAATCTGTGCCACTCTTTTGATATTTATCAAATATTACCTGGCTTGTCTGGAACTAGCCTGTAAGGTCAGGGAGCCTTTCTCTCCATAGTTCCAGGGTTTGGTGAAGCATCTTACACCAGTAAGTATTGGTTGAACATCTGTCAGTGACCTCTGCAAACTCTGCTTTTGTTGTAGGAAGCAGTACAGGTTTTGATTAAGCACTCAGCTGATGTCAATGCAAGGGACAAGAACTGGCAGACCCCTCTTCATGTGGCAGCAGCCAACAAGGCTGTCAAATGTGCAGAAGTGATCATTCCCCTGCTGAGCAGTGTCAATGTCTCCGACCGAGGGGGGCGCACAGCCTTGCACCATGCAGCTTTGAACGGCCACGTGGAGGTGGGTATTTTTATCATTCGGAACTGGAATGCTCCCTCCAGACACTTTCAGCCACAAATGGAAACTGATCTTCTTGCTCAGATTTTAAAGAATATGATGAAAATATTTGTACACCAAACCTTCAGCAAGTATATCATTCTTAACTTTAGAGCCACAATGAATTGAAGAAGCAGGCTGTCACTTCAGTCTTTTCTTCTGACACACATGACACAGGTCCTGCTCTGACATTATATTTATACTTTGTCGGAACTCCAGATCTCTGACCTGCCTTTAGATTTGATGTTAATTTGGCTCAGATCACCTGCAGGCAGTGAAGAGGCCTCACCATTATAGAATATGTGCTTGATTTCATGGTTGATTATCTTTCAGATGGTCAATTTACTCTTGGCCAAAGGGGCAAATATCAATGCGTTTGACAAGAAGGACCGGCGTGCTCTGCACTGGGCGGCGTATATGGGTAAGGATTCCATGCATGGAAAGCAAAGCGCAGATAAGCTTAACTAAAGCCATGGATCTCTCGTTGACAATGTAGGTTTTCTCCAGTCTGACTTTTTTTCAGGGTTGGGTTGCAATTGAATGAAGATTTGGTTCATTTTACTGGCATGCGTGGTGTGCTCCAGTTGGGCGGTTGCTTTGTCAGGTATTTATTTATCCTACAAAGAAGAGGAGGAATGAATCATGGCCTGAGCCTCTTTGAATGTGCTTCAGTCTGGATTTGAAAGCTGCACAGACTGTGCTTATTTTAACTTGTCATGGCAGTAAAACAAGGTGTTTTAAAAAGAAAAAGGACTGGCTAGGAAAGCAAGGACAGAAAGTCCATTCGTCTTTTTATTTATAAATATTTTTGAGAGAAACAAGAAGGAAGGAAGAAAAGACAAACCTCTGGCTATTTTATAGAAGGAGGGCACCAGAGGCACTGAGGATTATCCTGATAGTCCAATGACAACAAAACTGAAGGCTGCAGTCCTCATTTCTGCCCGCTTGGCCGAGGTCACATTTCTACGTTTTTTCCTTTTCACTTTTGTTGGTAAATCCCACTGACAAATGATAGATCTCACAGAGTTTATTCTAAGTGTAGACTTGTGGGAAATGAAGAACTAAGATATTTCCTTTGTATTTCTAATTGGAGAACATCCTGCCATTAGAAAAGTAGACAGGATTCTATCAGCACCAAGTTGTAAACAACCAGAATGCCCATCCACAGGAGATTGTTTTAGTAAATTCTGGAAGATCCACACAAGGGGACACTTTGCAGTAACTAGAGTGATGAGTCCATGAGTATTTATTAACATAGAAAGATTCTGTGATATGTTAAGTGAGAGCATATTACAAAGCAGTATAAATAGTATCCTCATTTTCATTTAAAAATCTGTTCAGTGATAAACCTGGAAAATAAATGCTAATATTTTAATTGATTGTCTCTAGGGATTTATAATTGTGGATGATTTTGGTTTTTATACCTTTTTGCCTTTCTGAATCTGTTTTTTTTTTTTTTTTTGAGACGTAATCTCACTCTGTCACCCAGGCTGGAGTGTAGTGCAGTGGTGTGATCTCAGCTCACTGCAACCTCCGCCTCCTGGGTTCAAGCAATTCTCCTGCCTTAGCCTCCTGAGTAGCTGGGACTGCAGGTACCTGCCACCATGCCCGGCTAATTTTGTATTTTTAGTAGAGACGAGGTTTCACCATATTAGCCAAGCTGGTCTTGAACTCCTGACCTTGTGATCCACCCACCCCAGTCTCCCAAAGTGCTGGGATTACAGGCATGAGCCACGGCACCCAGCCTCTGAATCCTTTTAAACAAGCATACATGCCTTTTATCATCACTTTGAAAATTAACCTTTATTGTAGGGAAAAGAAAGTAGGATGAAGCAGGGATGAAATAAATTATGTGGGTCTGAAAGATGGGTCTGAATCAATCTTTGGGTTTAAAAAACCAGAATT